TGGCTGGCGCCTTAGCCGGTTGAGCTATAGGCGCCGAGCCGGGAGTTTTGTTTTTATTTTCATTTTGACACAAGGTCTTGCTGTATAGTGCAGGCTGGAGTGCGGTGGCCTCATCAAAGCTCACTGCAACCTCAAACTCCTGGTCTTAAGAGATCCTCCCAAGACACTAGGATTACCAGCACACCTGGCTGGATTTGGTTCAGAGGATAGCTTTCTTTCCACCAGGGTATTCAGCCTTTTGCCTTCACTGTATCACATTGGAAAAAGAAGAGTTGTCTTAGGCCACACAGTCATTGGAAGACAAGTTGTCTCAGGCTACACAACAAATATACAAACACTAACAAAAGCTGATGAGCAAAAAAAAGAGAGAGAGAGAAAGGTCTGTGCATAATTCTTGTTATATCTGCAAAAAAGTCCCCATATAATTCCACATGCAGCCCACAGGTCGCAGTTGGGGCATCTAATCATTTATTTTTAAATCATCATTTATAGTCCATCACCAAACACAACACCAAAGGAATATCCAATTTTTCACCACTCCCCCCACTCCCTATTTTTTTTTAATACCTCTGAGGCATGGTGTCCCAAATGTCGTATTGATTATATCCATTCCTTTAGGTAATCCTGGTGCTTGATCATGACATTTTCCTAATGGTGCCCATTGATTACTAAGATATATAGATTCTTTCTTATCTTTAATTTTCTGTTGAAATGTGGTAATAGGCTGTGGGTTCACCACTGTCGCTGCCTAAAGAAATCACACAATGCACAGATGCATCAACAAAAACAAGTATAAATCTGAAAACTGAAACCGTAATCCATAGCTGGGGCAAGGAGATTATATGACGGTTGGAAAACATTTCATTATCACCATTGGCATTTCTTACCTTCAAATGAACTGTCAGACTTGAGACGATGAAGTTTAAATATGACTAAACAACGCCTTTCAAAGGAGTTAAGGTTTCAATGGTGCTAAGGAGTTTATGACAGGAGTTCCCAAGTTACTTGACTCAAATATTCCAAGAAAGTGGAAAGGACAAGTACAAGAACCGGGTGACATCCAAACGCTCTCTCCTACGCAGATTAGTTCTTCTGAATCTAGACTGCCATAGCACATGGCCTTGTGACCCCATCTCTACTCACTCTGTGGTGCCTCTACATGAGAGTCACAAAAAGTCCCCTTTATTGTCTAACAAAGCCTGACACCGTTTCTTTTTACTGTGAGAAGATGGAATGCCGTTTGGCTTTTATCATCTAAAGGGAGACCAGTTTGTGGCTTAAACCATTAATTTCTTCCCACTTGCTTAGCTGCCGCTGCTTGGATTTTCTTTTTCTTTTTACTGCTCAAGATTAATGCTTTTAGAGGGCAGATTGAGGGAAGGCTGGTAAAAATACAAGTAGCAAGGATATTGGAACTGATGGATTTCATTAATGCCTCATTTGTATATTTTCACCTTGGTAAATTAACAACACATAGGGGACAAAAAAGAAAAGTAATTACCGATAATGAAATTTTAGATCTTTTTCCATGTGTCAAATAATGTGCGATTGGGGGATCATTTGCTCTGCCATAAAATACTCTTTCTGCTCCAGCAGGTGGATATCTGTAGTTGAAATACTTTTTTGCCACAGGTGGAGTAATTGGCTACAAAGAGTGAGGCAAGAAAATAGAATTATTAAGTAGTTTTAAAAAACATTAACAGAACTGGTCTATATGAATTAATGAACACCCTTTTGTATGTGGTAGTAACTTTAAGGGGAACTACATCCTGAATAATGGAAAATCCCTCAAAATTTATTTGTTTATTAACAGAAGTAAACAACTTTTGTTTCTCTTTTTTGTTGTTGAGACAGAGTTCTACCCTATGCCCTGAGCAGACTGCAATGGCATTGTAGCTCGGACTCTGGCGGTGAGCATCCTGCTGCCTCAGCCTCTAAAGTCTCTGGGATTGCAGGTGCTCGCTGCAGCACCCGGCGGGGTTTTTCTTTTTTTTTTTTTCCATGAGTTGCGGTCTCACTCTCGCTCAGACAAGCCTCAAACTCCTGAGCTCAGGCAATCCTCCTGCCTCAGCCTCCCACAGTGCTGGGATTACGGGCATGAGCCACCACGCCCGGCATATAACAACTCTTTTCGAGAGAGAAACAAAGTTTCACTCTGTCACCCCAGCCAGCATGCAATGACATCATTATAACAACTACAACCTCAAACTCCTGGGCTCAAGCAATCCTCCTGCCTCAGCCTTCTAAGTAGCTTGAGCTACAGGTGTGCACCACCACATCTGGCTAATTTTTCTATTTTTAGTAGAGACAGTATCTCATTCCTGCTTAGGCTGCTGTCAAATTCTGGGGCTTAAGTGATGCTCCCACCTCAGTCTTACGGAGTGCTAGCATTACAGAGTACTGGTGTGAGCCACTATGCCCAGTTTATATTTTGTTATATTTAGAAAATAACCAGGAAGTATCCAGGCTAGAAAATGTACTATTCCATTATTCCTGTGGAAATAAATTGAATCCCTTGCTGGTTTTGTAGAGCTAATAATTGTAAGCCTGGAATTTTCACTTCCTTTGACAATAATCAACAGAAGCCTCCCAAATACAGTAAAGAATCCAAATTGACCAATTGACCACGTTCACAAGAAATGCTGGAAGTTGCCTATTTCTTGATGTTCATGTGTAAGGTAAAAATAGAAACATAAAAGCGTATTGAATGTACTCACCCTGGGAAGTTTTTCAGTCAAGCAGTTTGCAACTCTTTGACCAACTGGAATAACTTTCCCTGCCTAAGGAGGGGTAAGAAAAAAAAAATAGTTGATCACTGTCGCGGCAGAAGAGAAGTATTTTGAAGAATGAGATTTATTTCAACTTTGTCCTATGCTTCTGATGCTACAAAGTTACTTTCAACGACTTAACTTGAGAAAAAAGGAAGAACAGATAATCTCAAGCAATCTTCATATATAACATCAATATTAAATATACATATAATATACATATAAATATTAAATATACATATAAACATACATAGAATTATATGTATATTTAATACATACATTTTTAAAGTATGCATTTAAAAATATGCATGCTTTTTTAAAACACAAGCAATGTTAGTGATTAATCCAACTATAGAGCCTCTGGGACATAGCAAGGAATTCAACCTTCAGAAAAAAATCTTATCATAGCCCACAGGTTAATTAGTCACTGTTCTATATCAACAGTGACTTGGAAGTACGGCCACATTCAAGCTAAGATCAAGAGATAGTGTTGTCCAAAAACTGCAAAAAAAAAAAAAAAAAGGGCGGCGCCTATGGCTCAAAGGAGTAGGGCACCGGCCCCATATGCCGGAGATGGTGGTTTCAAACCCAGCCCCAGCCAAAAACTGCAAAAAAAAAAAAAAGAGAGAGAGAGAGAGAGAGAGATAGTGTTGAGTGTGTTCAAATGTGTGGGGGCATATTTCCACCCACGCAGTAACTTTCCCACGTGCAAGCATCTCCCTACTGGCTCGGACCTGTGGCCAAATCTCACTTGGCTTTGTCCACTTGATTCTAACTGGGGTCTTATCTGTCCTTCCTTTGCCCAAGGCAAAGATTATAAATTGTTCATTTCCTGAAAATACAACTCTTATCTATTTCCCCCCTTATCTGTTTCAAGACGGCTGATAGTTATTTTCACAATGTATAAGTTTCTCTCTGAAAAAGCAAAAGAAACTTCCCATAGTGTTCTGGGTCTCCAGAGAGAGAGAAAGAAAGAAAGTGGAGGGGGCAGAGAGCAGAGAAAAGTAGAGAAACTGCAAGTAGAAAAAATGGATGAAAGTGTAGATATGGGTTGGCAAAGAATGGATAAGTTAAATAAATGGAGGGATGAATGAATGAGCATACAGGTAGACAAATGGATATGTACCTATGAGTAGGGTCAAGTTTTCTGTTAAGTATTGAGTATAGAATTGCTCGTAGGGGGAGAGTCATCAGGATTTAAGAGAATATCTTGATGACATCTCTGGGTATAAAAGAGGAATCCCCCAAATATGACCAGGCACAGAACTGAATTTCTTTGCTAAAAAAATGGGACAAAATATGAATTTCTCATGGGGTAGCCTAAGAAGGAAAGATTCAAGAATATGACAAATAAATTGAGAAGGTGAGTGGAGGCTAAAATCTACCATCAGACTGAGAAGCCAGTGGGCCCAAAGTGATAAATTGGCCAGCCTAGACTTAATTCTAAATGATGAGTAAATTCTACTCACATAATGATGTTATATGAGAACTTAGTGGGGCGGGGGGGGGGGTGGTTTGTTTGTTTTTTGAGGCAGAGTCTCACTATGTTACCCTCGGTAGAGTGCCCTTGCATCACAGCTCATAGCAACCTCTAACTCTTGGGCTTAAGCGATTCTCTTGCCTCAGCCTCCCAAGTAGCTGGGACTACAGGCTCCTGCCTCAACATCCAGCTATTTTTTTGTTGCAGTTGTCACTGTTGTTGTTTAGCTGACCCAGGCCAGGTTCGAACCCACCATGTACATGGCTGGGGCCCTAGCCGCTGAGCTACAGGTGCTGAGCTGAGAACTTAGTGTTAAAAAAAAAAAAAATTAAAGAATGGCTCGGCACCCATAGCACAGTGGTTATGGTACTGATACCAGAAAAGTGGCGCCCCAGCCAGCTCAGCCGAGCGGGGCTTGGGGACCTGCCACCCCTGTCTTGGTGGCAGCAGCCGGCAGAGGAACCGGCAGATTGGAGCAAGCAGATGGGAGCTTCCCTCCCCCACCAAAGTCTCCAGTAGAGCAGCGCTAGAGGACCTGCCGGCTTTGCCTCAGCAGCAGCGGGCACAGAAACCAACAGGCTGGAGCAAAAGGGAGAGCTTCCCTCCCCCAACAGAGGCTCCAGTAGCCAAAAGAACCGAACACGTGCAGGAAAAGACACTGGCGCCATGCTGTCTCCTCACGTGGACTTCTGGCGATTCCTCCAGTGCATCCCTGATTGGTCCGTTTTCAAAACCTATTCACAATTAGTCTATTTTCAAGCCCCCAAAACTCAATGGACAACTGCCCCTATATAAGCCAGAGACCCTGAGCACGAATTTGGGCAGATCTCAGGAGATACAGCAAAGAGGTCTGGCTCTGTAACACTTGTATCCTGCTCTATGAGATTTGCCCCTTTATAAGAGCTGTAAACACTCATAAGGGGGTTCGCCCCTTTGTAAGAGCTGTAAACACAAGGAGGTTTGCTCCTTTATAAAAGCTGTAAACACTTACAAGGAGGTTTGCTCCTTTATAAGAGCTGTAACACTCGTATTATAAAACCTATCTTACTGCTAATTCTACTCTACAAGGAGGTTTGGCTTGTTATAAGAGCTATAACACTTATACCTGTTGAATAAAACCTATCCTGTGGTCCGTCGCTTCATTCTTCAAACCACCGAGACCAAGAGCCTGGAAATTCAGTATCAAAAATCCGGTAACAGTACCAGCCACATGCACAGAGGGTGGCAGGTTCAAACCCAGCCTGGGCCTGCTAAACTACAATGACAACTACAACAACAACAACAAAAAAGTAACTTAGGCTAAAGCAGAAAAGGAGGGAAAAGATACAGTAAGATTTTTTTTTAATTTGGCTAGAAATTATAAGAAATCTCAATGATACCAGGGAATGTTGTCTCTCTTACTATACTTGGGATAGGAACTCAAGTCATTTTTCCAAATATTCTCTTTTTTTTTTTTTTTTTTTTGCAGTTTTTGGCCGGGGCTGGGTTTGAACCCACCACCTCCAGCATATGTGGCCAGCACCTTATTCCTTTGAGCCACAGGTGCCACTCTTTTTTTTTTTTTCTTGAGACAGAGTCTTACTTTGTCACCCATGGTAGAGTGCTACAATGTCACAGCTCACAGTAACCTCAAACTCTTGGGCTCAAGCGATTCTCTTGCCTCAGCCTCCCAACTAGCTGGGATAACACGTGCCCACCACAATGCCTGGCTATTTTTAGAGATGACACAGTCCCACTCTGGCTCTAGCTGGTCTTGAAGCTGTGAGATCAGGCAATCCACCTGCCTTGGCCTCTCAGAGTGCTAGGATTATAGGCATGAGCCAATGTGCCTGGCCTTTTTTTTTTTTCTTGACATGGAGTCTCACCCTGTTGCCCCAGGTAGAGTACAGTGACATCATCTTAGCTCACTACAACCTCAAACTCCTGGGCTAATCCATCCTCTTGCCTCAGCCTCCTGAGTAGCTGGGACTAAGGTGTCACACTAGGCTATTTTTTGTATTTTAGGCAAAGATGGAGTCTCACTGTAGTTGAGGCTGTTCTCAAACGCCTGAGCTGAAGAGAGCCTCCCAATTCTGCCAGTTCGAGTGCTAGGACTTACATGAGCCACCATGCCTGGCCCATTAGTTTTCTTATATATTTCCTAGTCACTTCCCCACAGTCTATCATTCCTTGAATCCCAAACTCTCTTTCCTTTGTTAAAGGGGTATATAAATTCCTGAGTTAATCACTTCTTTGAGTTTTAGTTATGTTCTATGAACTGTGCATGTAAATACTAATAAAAATTGCATGTCGGCTCGGTGCCTATAGCTCAATCGGCTAAGGCGCCAGCCACGTACACCTAAGGTGGCGGGTTCGAATCCCCAGCCCGGACCCGCCAAACAACAATGACGGCTGCAACCAAAAAAAAATAGCCGGGTGTTGTGGCGGGCACCTGTGGTCCCAGCTACTTGGGAGGCGGAGGCAGGAGACTCGCTTGAGCCCAGGAGTTGGAGGTTGCTGTGAGCTGTAATGCCACGGCACTCTACCCAGGGGGACAGCTTGAGGCTCTGTCTCAAAAACAAATAAATAAATAAAAATTGCATGTCTTTTTTCTTATTAATCAATTTTTGTTAGCTTAATCCAAATGTTCCCAGTTATTGAACAAAAGAGGGTAGAGGAAAAGTTTTCTCTCCTTAACAATTCAATAGAAAGGTAACTTCATAAGGCTGAAGAATTTGGGGATACCCAGGCAGCTACATTGGGATGATAGATGGTTAGATAGATGGAAGAAAGGACAGATTGATTGATGGCTCAATGAATACATGGTCTGGCAGATAATTTTATTTGTTCCTGCTTAGCTTCCCTTCTAAGCATTTGCCAGTGGGTATTCCTATATCTCCATCATGGCAAATGTTCTACCGGACAGCAAAGCCTTGGTATTCAACATAGACATGCCCTCATGAAAAGCAATTGGATTGCAAATCAGTAGTTGTGATAAGGTTTCTCTGCTGCCATGTCTTTAATCAAGGACATAAACACAGAAGCCTCTTATGTCTGTTCCTGTCTATTTTGTCTAAATATGTTTGACAAGGCTCCCTGATCCTTAACCCAGTCATGGGTCCCTCTGATTTTATCTTCCAATCTTCTATAGAATTTTTATTTATAACGGATTATCATATTTAGGTTCTGAAAAGTGCTTTCTTCTTCTCTGATTCTTCTTTTCAAAGTTCCGGTCACGTACCACTAAGGAGACAACAACCAAAGCAAATAGACAGCCATCAGAATGGGAAAAGATATTTGCATATTATGAATTGGACAAAAGCTTGAAAACTAGGATCTACAGAGAACTCAAATTAATCAACATAAAAAAAGCCAACAATCCCTTATATCAGCAGGCAAAAGAGATGAATAGAACCTTCTCTAAAGAAGATAGACAAATGGCTAATAAACATATGAAGAAATGCTCATCATCTCTAATTATCAGAGAAATGCAAATCAAAACCACCCTAAGATATCACCTAACCCCAGTGAGAATGGCCCACATCACAAAATC